TTAAATACAATACAGTTTTGCTTTAAAACAAAAAATAAAAAAACAAGAAAAAAAAAAAAAAAACAAAAAAAACTCAAAACACACACCAACAACACGTTGTTTATGATGTAAACAAATAAAGTGGACTTCTCCCTTATTAAACGGAGATAATAATCAGGTTTTTTTACTTTGAATATTCTTCTGTTGCCACTTGTAAAGTGGTCTTACGCTTAATTCGGAAGTGCATGGATTCGAGACACGATTGCGTATTGTACTAATAGATTATCCTTTAGAATTGTTTACTGTGTAATGAAATGTTTTAAGGTCCACCTCGGACTGCTGTCATTCATTTCCAAAGAGAAGGTGATACTGTGAGAAACACTGGTTTCGTTAAATTTCCCTCCGCTTTAATTGAAATACTGTTGAAATAACTGTTAAACCCAAGTATTAAAGAAAATAAGAAGATATAAAACATAAAAATGCATAGTTCATTATTTTCATAGGCTCTACATAGCACTGCATTATTTGCAGACATAAAAAAAACGAGCTTCTCCCACAACCATATTCTCACAAATTGAGGATCCTACATGGTCTTCAAAATACAAGGGAATCTGTATTTAATATGCAAAATTCTCCGCTTCTGAACATACAAAATAAATCAACGGAACTTTCGCCTTTAATCGAGAAATGATCGCGGCTTCAGGTCGCCTCAAAGATGCGCTAGTAAACGCATACCGCGAGTCAGCTAGTTTAAAATAAATAAGAATGAATCTGTAATTATGTGAAAATACGTGAGAAATTTAAGCCATAGCATGAGAGCGTGATTCCTCTTTTAAATCTGAGTCTCACGCTTAGTGCAGGTATTTAGCTGCGAGAGAAAATAGAATGACTGATGGCTGTTAATAAATAAATTGTTATATCTGTAGAAAATTTTTGAATTAAATGTCTGCTAGATTTTATAATATAAATAAGACTACCCAGTGAATCATGGCTTACGTACAAATCGTTGCTACTTCCAGTTGATCATATATTTTTGAAACGTAAATTTGATTCATTCCTACCTAACAGACAAAGATGTTATCGTATGTCTCTGTTCCTACTAACTGACATATACAATTCAAAATTGTTACATATGATAACATGGAAGTTTATGTTGTACCGAGATACAGTCATAACAACATGATGACATTGCGACTTTTCCAGCCTTTTCATTCTTTTTTTTCTGACATTCTTTGCAAAATTTTATGTTTTTATAATTTCCACTTAGTGGCCTTTTAATTATATCTTTCAATATTCTGAATTGTCTTTCAGTCCTCGAGGTATTTATATCCATTTGTTGCAGTTTTCAGCGATTGATAACCAACTTTTGCAGATTGTTGTACATGTATATAATTGAAGATATTCATCGAAAATGCAGGCATCTGACAGCGACTTTTAAAAGAACATTTTTTTACGGAACATGTCTACAAACTATTGTTGTTTGATGGTTTTCACACATTTTTTATTCCTGTCAGTATGTTATTTATCGAAAAAAAGTCGTGAAAATTTCCTTTGAGAAAAATATTTGACGTCACCAAAAATCATTTCGTTTTATTCACCCTTTATTTTATATATTCAAATAGTAATAGCAAAATATTTTACGCGTTGACCCTATATTTTTATTGCATAAATATTTTCTTTTATGACTTCACTACGTGTTAAAAAAATCAAAAAGCAAAATTCACCGTGTTGATTTTTTATTATTTCACAATCTTTATTGCGATATCACCGCGATATTTGCATCAAATATGGACGTCAGAACGTGAGGGAAAATAACGTAGAATCGCAGAGTATTAAGCAAATGTTCAAGAAAGACATCGTTTACAAAGACATACATTTACTGAACATTATAAAATTAAAAATGAAGGAAATCGGATGAAAATTGATAATAACAGACCGGTTTATTGATAAAAAAGGCGCAATTTCCCCGCCACCGATAGAGGGCGCTTTGACGTCATAGTAACGCTGTTTATTTATAAAATAATGCTGCGTAAGTAAAGCTTACATATTTATATGTTTGCATACCAAAAATCATCAAGATCTGAGATGTTGTCATATTTCGGTCGGAAAGTAGCGAGCTACCTTAAGTAGGCTGTTCAGTATTCTTTTGGGCATGTTTGTTCACTTGACACATTGGTTCATAATAATTATTATATCTGTTGCAATTCATTCTTCAATGCCATTAATTTTGAGAATTTTGATGGTCACTTAACTCTATGAGAAAAGGTTAGAATGCTAATCATATAACCAGAAAACAGGTCAGTACATGCAGCTATTGAAGTACTGGAAAAAAAACAACAGGAAATTGTTGCACTAAACATTCATTAGTTAACCAGTAAATTGTTTATAACTTGTATTTCAGGGTTATAATTCCGCAAAACTATTGAAAAGGGGCATCTATGGCTGTTAAGGTCATTGACTTCAAACCACTTGCCCATCATTGCTGTGGGTTCAAATCCTGTCAGGGACTTTGGATTCTTTCATGTGAGGAAACTGTCCAGCTACTAGTACTTTACAGAACGTCTATGGTTCTACTCAAGTGCCCCGTTGTTTGTCTGAAATAATGGTCAGAAAGGCACCTAAGGTTTTCCTCCACCAGTAAAGCTTGAATATTGCTATATGACCTATACTGTGTTTGTATGATGTAACCCCACCCCACTAAAAAAAGGCAACAAAACAAATGAACACAAAACACAAACAAAAAACAATAACTGGTAAATATTTTGAATTGAAGAAAAAGAAATTAAGTATTGAATTTACCTGCTTCTTAAATTTGATGGAAAAAAGGAAAAAAGAACTCCATGAATGTCAAGATTTAATTGAGCATCATCTATGTTTGCCAATTTGAAATTCATCAGTAGCACAGTCTATAGAATATAGATAGGAATTTCTTCAAATTTTTAACTTTGGCATCATATCAGAATTGAAAAAAGGCAGTTTTAATTACAGGTAAGGGGTGGGGAGGGGGGAAGTAAATTGTCTCTGGATGATTTAGTATATTTCATTCATTATATTTAATTTTGCACCTGTTGATGTATTAGGACACCTGTACAAACATACTAAATGTTGCAAAAGTTCCAGGAAAAAATACAGAAAATTTGCCGATCTTAATGCAAAAGTTCTAGAAAAATCTACAGAAAATATGCCAATGAATTGATAATTCTTAGGTTTATACAACATGATTTCCACCTTTATGCCAAAGAAGTATGTCAGTTTAAATGAAAATGTTTACAAGAATTGGATTAGATAGACGTACTTGTGTTATGTTACAATTTCACAAATTGAAGACTTTTTGTGAAAATTAATATTTACTTATATATTTAAATAAATAGAAAAAAACATGACAGTTATAAATTGATGCATTGTTTAGACACGCCATAAGCTAGAAATGTTAATTTTGCAATATTTTGGCCATGTGAAAATATCTTATTTTAAGCCAACAGTATAATTATGGTCTGGTCAGACTGTAGTAAGAAAATGGGCTGTGTAATTTTTGTTATGTTATGCTTTTGTTTTATACTGTATTGACCTTTGTAAAAATTTACTTAAAATGATATATTCTAGTAATTAGGGGCATCAAATCTGTACTATGTAAGCCAACCCAGCTGTCAAGCAGTTTACCAGTACTTATTGCCTTCACTTTCGCAAGGAACTGAAACTTCTGTACATGCCAGAGCAGAAGTGCAGTGCAAGGATTTCATGATCAGTCACAATGAAAGTGACCTTTGCCCTTGTCTGGTAATCGAACCCAGGTGTCCCGATTTACAGTGGAATGCTCTACCTATTGAGCTTCCGGACAGTTAGAGGGTATATGGAGGAAATATTGGGAGGTTTTATTCCTCCAACATATGAGAAATGATGAAAAGTTGGAATATTGTAGCCTGTATAGTAGGAAATGAAGGGAAGCAAGAAGATGTGGAAAATTTTTCGAAGATTTTAAATAAGAGGTCTATTACATTAGTTTTTAGTGGTTCATGAACTTGCATGTAAATAAAAAGCCATGAATATTTTGTACATGAAGTTAAGAAATAAAACAACAGATTAGGACACTGTCTGATCACTGATCACTTTGATTTTATGGTTAATTTGGCAAATTTAGTGCCAGATAATTAACTGAAACAGGAAGCAGTGGAGATCTGTGTTTAGCAGACGACAGAAGGTGATGTTTTGAATGAAACAGACGTCATTATTCAGACTGACAAGTTATCTAACATCATCACATTGAGTGCAATTCTCTGCAGGAAATCTTGTCTGTTTGTTATATGTCTAGAAAGTGTAGGAATTTTAACCAAGATGAAATAAGTATGATTTATCTAAGTGAATTAATGGCGAAACTATTTTTGTTTTAAAGGTGAATGAATACCTGTAAAGCGTAGGTCACATGATCTCAGCTGGAATGATAATTGTGTTGTTAGGTTTATAAAGTTTGAGTGTTAAGTGAAATATAATGGTAGAATATTTTGAAGTGTTTCCTGCAATTTTCAATGAACCATAATTATAGTTACTTCTGTCTGAATCATTCTTTTGTTTCATCATTTGAATAAATACGACTTCAAAAACATCTTTTCATTACCTCAGTGAGCTTTTTGGAGTAAACCTGTTACTGCATTTCAAGTGATGATTTATTGATTAATTTTCTAGATATTTTATATGGTATCTTCCATGGGCTAAATATTTCATTGTGAAGTTTTAGGGTTAATTTTGACTAATTCACTGAAGCTGCAGATAGATTTATATATTCTACAGATCTGCAAAGCTTTCTGAAAGTAACATTGACACACTTCTTTTCATAATTCTTATACCAAATTCTTTTTTGCTGCAGTTAGTTACATTATTTGCAAACATAAAATGAAAGATAGTTTATGTTTCGGGCACGAGGAGTTTGCAACTGTCACTATTAAAAAGTGTTCAAGAAAAAGAAAATGGGGGTTATAACCTTTTTCAGCCGTATGATGTCTTTATATAAACATTTTGTTTTTCAGCTCTGTTTCTCGAAGGGTGATATTATAACAGTTACACAGGCTATTGATGGTGGATGGTGGGAGGGAACTTTACATGGTAAAACTGGCTGGTTCCCTAGCAATTATGTACGAGAATTTAAACAAGGTAACACAATCTGTGTTTGTTTTTTATGTTTTATTTCAAATTGCTTAGCCTGCTTGGTCGAGTTACACGAGTGGTTAACAATTAATCACAATACTCCCCTGGCATCAAAGTAATAACCCTGAATATCCACTGGTATATTACCGAACATCTATGGGTCGTGGACTGTAGCTTGCACTTTCCAGTATCAATCAAACCGAGCCTGCAACATTTTCAGTTTTGCCGTGTTGGGCTTTCTTTAGGGATTTTGTTTTTCTCTATTTTACCATACTCTCATACTCTTTACTGGTGTCTAACTTAAAGTTTTTCATCTTGATATCCCTGAAATTGATAATGGACAATTCCAAATATTGGAGCTGGACAAGTCCATTACAGCAATTTTAAGGTTAATTTCCATTCAAATTCCTCGGCTGTGATGACGAGACAGGAAAAACTAGTATATGACTTTGGATAATGTGGATTTTATTGTAATCATTTACGTTATGATGATTTTCTAAAGAAAAGTCTAATGGAAGGTCTCTGTGGTTTTACTTGCGTCCCAGCTGGAATTGAAATTTTGAATTGAAGGTCACGACACCTAAACTCTTCCTGCACAATCTAGTCTTGCAAAATGCTTTATGACCTTGTTTGATTGGTTTAACTTAAAGAATGGAGTTATAAAGCAACAATTTATATAGATTGAAATCTATAAGGAAAAAAAAAACACGACAAGTTGGTTTGAAAGCATTTGATTGAAATTCAATTCTTTTTCAATTCCTCAATAACTTTAAAATCTTGAATGTAATGCTACTTAATAAGGTTCCTGAAATCCTGAAATAATGCATTGATCCTGAAAAAAACATCTCCCCACATCAATAAGGCAAGAAATTCACTATATAACCTTTTATGAGTTATTGTGACCTAAAATTTGCTTCTCTCCTACCTTCCACTCACACAACCTTCCACACTCAACCTCCCTCATCACCTTCTGTTCTATACCAGCCTCCCCAGCCTGTGGTTTTCATATACTGGCCTTTACAAAATTAGGGTAGTAATGGTAGTAAGAACAATTTGAATGTATAATTACATAATAATTATGAAGGAAGGTTTAAATACATAAGTCACATGCAGAGGTGATAATTTGTTAGTTTCATGATTATTTTACCAACATTCCCATGGTAACAAATCATTTTTGTTCATCTAATTCCTGTTAATTACTTAACTAAGTAATTGGGTAACCTTTACAATAAATCTATTTCGCTAAAAAGTGCACATCTATACCTTTAACACAAAAAAAAATATTTGCTTAGATTTTGTACTTAATCTTTAGGGAGATCATTATTTTCAAATCTACAGTGAGTGTATGTTTTACTTCACATCTGTGTGTCTTCTCCCATGCATGGTGTATGTTTTTTCTGTATCTTTCAATTAAGAATTGGCTGTTTTAGTCATCAAATACATATTGTTACAAAAACTAAACTTTCAAATTTTTCCTGTATATCTTAAAGGCCCATTATGGCTCAGAAATGCTGCCATCTTTACTTCTTAAAAACTGTTTATTTTTGGTATCTTATTTCAGTTTCAAAAAAATACTCATTTGCCATATATAATCTAAACAAATTATCTTTTGCTTTCTTTGCTCTATTGACAGTAACTGTTGGTATAATTATAGTGCATTAGTATTTTGTATGGATGTCAAAATACTATTTTGTTTACATTTTGCTACCTATACAACACATAACTTCATGTTCAGCCGTACTTTCTTCTATTGTTAAACATCTTACATGCTCTAAAATCCATTAATAAACAGTATGGATTTCTGAGGCATAATGTGCCTTTAACATTTAATTTAGCCTTTTTCCAAAAACATGAGCATGTTTACTCATCCTACCTTTCTTTTTATGATATATTATGCTTGCACAATATCTTATATTCTGTTTTTTCTCCTGGCTCCAAGCAAACATCTGTTTTACAACATATTTATAGCATATTATAATGTATACTGTGCAGTTTCCCCCACTTGAGCGAATAAATTATTTTTTGTTCTTTAAACCAGAGAGTTACTAGCAGCTGCATGCACTTCCTATATTGTTGTTTTTTGTTTATGCATATTGACTTTTGATAAGAACACACTAGAGTGATTAGTAATTCATTTCTGCTCTATCTTTCAAATTAATATTTATGCTACACTTTTTTTGAATAGATTAGATTTGTTGTTACCTGGAAAGATTTAGTGTTATAGATTACTGTAAATCAGAGCTCTGAGTTCCTACAGTATCAGGGTTTTCATTATTGGTGATATATATTATCAATTGAAATGCTGTCAATTTCAGTTGAAATGCTGTTTAAATCAGTTGAAATGCTGTTAAAATTGTTTGTATTTTAAGCCTGTAGATTAGAATATCTCCCTTGACCCTCGGTTAAATGGTTGTTTTCGTTGGCAAATTAAATGGATTTTTTATGTTGGAAGTATTTAACCATAGTCCATTTCAGTTTTGGCCTACATTAATGTACAGAGGAGCACCTGAGATCTTCCTCCATCAGTAAAAGCTGGAGAGTCGCCTAGTCATTACCTACATATGTGTTGGTGCGATGATAAACCCAACTTAGCTTTTAAATAATAACAAGACAATGAAATGTGATGACCCATCATTTTCAGGGACATATGATAATATTGTATGAATTGATTACTTAGGAATTGAAAATATTTTGGGTTTACCCCAGCTCATCCGGGGGTAACAGACAAACTTCTACAGTTACAGCTTCAAAAATAAGCACAACAGATCACATTATAGATTGACTAGTCTATTGTGGCCAGTAGTGCACCGTGAAGCTATAACGTGAAGCTATAACGGTAAAGTTTGTTTTTACCGGGGCATAAGCTTGGAAAAACCAACATTTGCCGATGTCCGGATAACACCTATTGATATATACTATATGACCTCAATATACGTTTTTTAACTTGACTGTGAAGAAGTAGGAATGCTTTGTTGCTTACTGATTAATTATCATTTCACACAAGCCATAAGGTAAAGTGTAGTATTGTATGTAAAAGTTCCTCTGACTTGAAACTTTTAATGGTGAATGTAGCCATTTCCACTAGAAACACTTGATAATAAATATCCTGTTGTTATGTTCTATTGTAAAAAACACATGTGGTTTAAATATCTCAAAGAATTTTAATTTGTAACACATCATTAAGATGTTTATGCTTTGTTTAAAGTACTTCCTGACATTAAAGGCACTCCACTGAGGTCAAGAGGCATAAAAAATCATAAAATTTGAAAATTTTACAAAATATAGGATAACAAAGGATAACAAAGAAATATACTCAGAATTAAATTGAAAATTGATTTTTTATGCGATTATTAGGCGAATTTTAGAGAAAAGCGTAGCAACACTGTTCATTTTGGGCTATTTTTCACAATAAAAATGATTTTTCTGGCAAAGCAGGATGATGGAATGAGCTGAAAATTTGCACACAAGTAATTGGATAAGCCCTTAATCAATTGGTATGCAAATCTTGGAAATAAATTGTCAGTTCCATCCTGTGAAAAAAAACTCTTTGTAAAGCAAAGAGAATTAGGGGTTCCCAAACAGTTTTTCCCCTCCCTTTTCACCCGAGCGTCGGCGTCAGGGTAACCACTTATGTTAAAGTTTTTGTAATACCTCAAATATTTTCAAAGTCCATTGACATATGATTTTGAAACTTTGCACACTTGTTCACCATCATGACCCCAACCTGTAGACAGGAGGAGGTAACTCTATGAAGCATTTTGACAGAATAATGCCCCTATTTCAACTTATAATTTTACATTTAGGTTTGCATACCACCTCAGATATTTTCATATTCTATTGACATCTGGATTTGAAACAAGTTGAAATTTTATACTCTTCTTTGGGAGCATTAGGACTCTCTCCAAGGCCTATAACTGTAACATGGATTTAAAGAAAAAATTTGCCCTTTTGTTTACTTAGAGAATTTTACATTATCAAGGCTCTTTTACTATTATAATAAAACACTAAGAATAGTCGAGCATTGCTGTCCTACCGACAGCTCTTGTTTAACCTTTCTTGGAATGAAAAGCGAAAAACAAGCATTATTTGTAGCTAAATTATATCCAGTTATAAAAGAACACTATATCTAAAGTTGTTTTACATTGTAAAAGTTGTATTACATTGTAGTTATCTAAGATAACTTGTAAAGTCTTAAGATTCTTTGCATCATATGAAATTAACTCATATTTGAAAAAGAAAAAATTAATCCATAATCCTATGGGTAGTATAAATAAGCGCTATGGCAACAGTATAGTTGACATTAGTGCAGTTTGACCAGAATTGGTATACTACCTGTATGATGAGGCAGGTTGTCATTGTTGCTGTTAATAAGTACTAGAAGGATTTATTATTAAACTTTAGCTTGCTGGCACCAACTGAATGTATGTCCATCCAAACCAGTCCAGACCAATATCAGCCCAACATCAGTGCTTACAGATCATGGTTTGCACAGTTCTTTTTTCAGTTGATTTATTTATTTTGAAAATTTCTTTAAAAATGATGAATGGTTTTACGTCCAGATGGAAAACTGTGGTCAAGTCCATTTTAGATATTTATCATTGTAATGGCTAATTAAGATTGTTTTCATTGATTGTTCAGCACTTATTTTAAGTAATGTCTTGTTTTGAAATATATAAAATTCACACCACATGCTCTACTGTTATATTGCAAGGGGTGAATAATGACATGCTTATATGCCCACCAGCATTGTGCCTGGTAAGCCAGAACATCTGTTCAGCCTGAACAAACCAGAGTTTTGGCAGCTTAATTTTAATTTTGTGGGAGGGAAATCCATCGAAATTCAAATGGACCGTTCCGAATTCAAAAGCAAGATGATTAAAATCAAAAGCAGGGTAAGGCCATTTTTATAAAGTAGGTGAGGTAAGATTAATGGATGTTAATTGATGCGATACAAGCCTAGATCTTGTATTACATGAAGTGTTTGTTTTATTTCAGAATTAACTGGAAGCCTGAAAGGTGGACCAGGAGCTATAGTTACTGTGAATAAAACCCAGGAAGTGCCAAAACACTTTAGGGAAAGCATGCAATACTATCATAATGTGGTAAGTTGAAATTTTAACTTGAAATTTTACGTAAAATTTATTTCAAATGTATAGTATTTTTAATTCTCCGCAGGAAAGTTTCAGGTAATATTCAGGTAATATGATATGATATGTGAATCTGTTTTTGATTAGATACTGTAAAAATCGTGTAGTTGAGGGTTGACCGCAAAACTGTTGTAAGTCCTTCTTTATTTCATATAAATTACTGCAGTTTTGCAGTCAAACATTGTTAAGTGTTATTCAAATGTAGAAATTTGAACAGAATAGCTGGAACTTTATCACCCTTTAACCACCAATATTACAACTGCTTTATTCTTATGTTTTGTGAAACATTGAAAATGAGGGTAATGCTTCGAATAAAAATTCCCTTTTTCAGTCATATTGTTGTAAACATTAGAACAATTTGAAAATGTTTTGTCACATTGGTGCTGTTACAAGTGTAATGATATGGCTATGCCACCAGTGTACAGTCAAGCCAGTCTGCACAGTGCAATTGGCATTGAAGTACAGTATGACCAAACTCTATAACTGAATGCTATTTATAGTTTTAGTATTTAGATATTGAAATTCCTTATGAGAGTGTATGATAAACATTCCTGTGCTTTCTCATTTCTGCCAGAAACTTAACTGATCTTTCCATTTAAGATGTAGTTTATTTATACATGTGTACAGTTTGTTTAGCGAAGCATTGAATTTAGAGGGGTTTCCTTGATTGCTGAGTGGTTGAGGTTTCTGATTCAGAATCCAGTGCCACTAACTTCTGTGGATTTGAATCCTGCTAGTGACTTAGATTATCTTTTGTGAGATAGTTTTGAGAAAGTTAGGTTCTATTCTTTTGTTCATATGCCTGCTCATCCCTCAAATTATGCATAGAGGGGCACTGTCTTGAGGTCTCCACCCACAATGAAATCTGAAAAGTCACCATATGACCTCTAGGTGTGATAGAGGGGCACTGTCTTGAGGTCTCCACCCACAATGAAATCTGAAAAGTCACCATATGACCTCTAGGTGTGATTCAAACTCAATGGCTACAAAAGTATCCTCAACAATAACAACATCAACAATAAAACAATGAATACAGAGATGATAATATGTAAAATTGACGATGATATATTTCAGGTGTTACAGAATGTCATAGAAACAGAGAGGGCTCATGTTGCTGAGATGACTTCAGTTTTACAAAACTATATACGTCCTATCATCACATCAGAAATGTAAGTTTGATTCATGAATTATAATAAATATTTCCTTGTGTAAAAATTGCAAGCTCTTTGCTTGTATTGTACTTACTTGCATAAAATCTGTGCATGCAGGTTTACATTAAGGAAGTAGAAAACTTGCATTAATGGATTAAATCATGTGAGCATCTTTGTTGCCATTTTTGATATGCATGACTCGGGGGGGCTTCATAAAGAAATTATTTACTGCAATGACGGCCCTGGTAGTTTCATAATCAAAACATGAGTGTCAAATGACATTGCACTAGCACATGAACAAGCATTTCAAAACTGGTTTCTTTGTACAAAAAACAAAAAGTGAAATGCTGAATTGCTGAATCAGACATGCATTTTTATGCAAGAATAGTGTTAATGCACATTATTTCCTGCAGAAGCTTGTTTTAAATGCATGCTCATGCTTCTACAGATGTTAATGCATGATAAAGGGGCATTTACCCTCTATTGTTTTCATGTAAGGATGTTTATAAGTTAAAATCAATGTAGGAAATTAACAGATTTTTTAGCACTTTGATTACTTCTATACTTGATGTAAAATTTTAGCTACATATATACCATTGAATGTAACATACAAGTTAAATAAGTCAAGAAAATTTAACAGAAGATTGATGTGGTTTAGTAATACTGTTAGAAGTATGTTAGGAGTGTGTCATACAGATTTGAATTTTGTTTGTTGACACCAGTCATAAAAATTCACTTTGTGAAATATATTTTGTTCAAACAAATATTTCCTATGTATTTAAATGTTTAGAATAATGTACATTTTGAATTTTGACATCATCTACTTTTGCATCGCATCATGAAAAAAAAATCGTAAAATTTATGATATTTGTTACACAGTGTGTGTAGAGGTTCTGTTACTCTTGTGTTTACTGTTTTGCAGCATGAGTTCTTCAGAGTTCTCTGACCTGACAGGCAATCTAGAAGACATCATTACATTCCAGCAAAATTTTCTTGTATCGTTAGAGGAGTGTTCCAAGTAAGTTTCCTATTCATTAGCCGTCAAATTAGATGTTTTTATGTTCGTTATGTCACGGTTATTTGACAGATGTCTTGTTTACATGAGACAATAGGGGGTATAGAAATCTTGTTTGTTTTGTTTTGCCAGGGTTATTTTTAGGGAAGATAATATCAGTATATAGATCATGTAGATTACTGCAAGAAATAACATTGTTAATGCTATTGTTTTGAAAAGTCAGAGAAAAATAAAAGAGAAGTTTCTTTTTGATGTTATAGGAACACATTTATTTGGATATTGAAGGCATGTATTTTAAAGATGACTTTTCATAACTAGTTTTGTATGTTGTAATTGCAGACATCCAGCACATCAACGTAGAGTGGGTGGGGTATTCATGAGGCACGCACCATCATTGAAGGAATTATACACACGTTATTGTGCAAATCATCCCAGGGCAGTTGCAATACTTCAGAAAAATAGGTATGATAACGTATATAAAGAATCATTTCTGAAGTCGATAGGCAAGAACACTTGGGGGGGGGGGGGGTGGCGGGGAAGAGCCCTTGTACTGGGATATTGAATTGAAGACATTTTAACAATTGATTCAAAGGATTTGTCCTGCACACTATTTATTGTGAAGCTTTAGATCTGATTGTTAAACTTTAAAGAATTTTGCGCTATTTATTATGAAGCATATGGATTTAATTGTGTAAACAATATTACTGGAGTAACCAACATTAAAGTCTGATCATATAACACAGCTACAGGCTGGTCTGGCCTCATTTTTAGAGGGTAATGATGTTATTGTCACAGGGTAGTAAAATTGGGAACTAAATTTTATGAAATTTTATAATTGGTTGTGCAGTTTGTCATTATTTTACAGAATACAGATGTATGTTCCAATCAGATTGCAAATATATTCAAAATTATACTATGAAAGGCATTTTGGGTATTTTATGTTGGTTTTTAAATGATTTTGACTGGAGACTATTGGTATTTTAGCATTGAAAAGCCATTATTGAGATAGAAAGCACCAGTCATTTGTAACCCCAACCATTTTGAACTCCCACCTAGAGATGTTGACCTTTACATTTGATATAATGGTGTTATCACTGTGAAAAATATGGTAAAACAAGGGGCCAGTGGCCCCAAAGTGCTCACCTGAGGAAAAGAGTTAGATACTACACTACAAATTAACCTTTTCCCTTATATAAGCGTGTTTCGACGGCTTTTTGCCCCCCCCCTTTTTTGAGGCCTCAAACAGTGAAAAAATGCCCTATTTAGGCCCCAAACACTGTTTTTCGTTTGAGAAATGTTGTTAAAAAAAGTGACCACTTTTTCAGCGCCGTCCCCCATCCAAATATTACACCAGGGGGTTGCCAGAAGGGGGATGTGCCCCCTTCTGTTTTGGGGGTTTGAAGGGGGGCGGAGTCCCCCTCATCGCCAAGAAAATTTTGGACATGTGACAAGCTAAAAATGGCCTCAGGTCAATCTTAGGGTAACTAGTAACCGACGCTGAAAAGCCTTTTACTCTATCTCAATTCATTGAGAAGTTGCAGCACTTTGAAATCAGTTTTGATGGAAAAAACAATGCAAAAAAGTGATTTTTGGCAATTTTGAGACGTCCCCCTGTTGCCATGGTAACAGGAAATTTACCATTGAGCATGCTGTTACAGAGGCTATGGTGTAGTCAACATTTGTGCCAAGTTTCATTAGTATTGAAGCATTTTTCATAGTTTCATAGCAGTTTGAACTTGTTACAGGAGGCTTTTCAATGAAAACGGCCATTTTTCGCAATATGCTCATGGGGTAAAAGGTTAAAAAAACAATTACCCATAGTTTCAGTGTTTTTATGATAACTGAAATTACAATAGATTGCTTTAAAGATTGTTGATCTTGAAATAGCAACATTCTTGATGGAAATTGTGACTTAAATTTTGTAATTATTACAAAACACATACTCTTGTTTGTGGTTTCAAAAGATCCTCATATTTGTCTGTCTAGAATCTGAAACAATGTAAATATTCTGTCTAGATTTTTATCTGTTGAAGTGTCTTGTTTAACTTCAGACAGACAATTCATTTCAAGGATATGTGAGATTTCCTGAAGTATAGAGATAAAGTGTAAAGAAAATATTAATTGTGCTAAAGAAATGTTGCATGAATCATTTGCATGTAGGATGTGAATTTTCACACACGCAAAAAAAAAAAAGTAAAAAAATGTATCTAGAGATATGTAAAGAAAGAATACATGTATATATATCAGGCAAAGCTAATATTTCATGCTGTGCTGAGATGTAATGTTTACTGAAAATATAACAAGAAGAAATTATGAGTCATGTGCAAAATTTACGTTTTTTACATTATTGAACAAAAATCTTAGGTAATCATTAAAATTTTCCTGTCATGGTTTGTTTAGAATTTGAGGCAGTCAAATTGGTTTTATCACATACAACAAACGAAGAGTACTTTCTTAGTTTTGTCAGCAGCCCAAAAAACACTTTAGACAGTCATTAATGTCCACATCAGCCTCACAGAGCCAACCCTAATAATATTTTTTATGATTCTGATACTTAATGAAATAGAAATAATGAATTTAATTAAAAAATAAAATTTGACCACAGGCATGACAAAACGACCCATAATGTCAATTTAAAAATGATGTCAAAAGACACTTAAAATGTGGTTAACGTTGAAATTAAAATTCTAAATTACCCTTCACATGTTGAAGATAAGGATATTAATAGGAAACGAGAAACAGATTTACATAGTTTTGTATTGGTTCAAGAGTTTAAAAATAAAAATCTAATGAAAGGATAATATGTTAACTAAAAAGGAATTACATTAAGGGTTGTTTTCTCATGCAGGCGACCGTATTTTATTTTATTTTTTCAGGGAGGAGTTGAGTAAGCTAATGGAGAAATTAGGGGCCACACCACCAGGGTCAATGACCCTGACCACAATGTTGTCCAAACCCTTCACAAGATTAGATAAATATCCTAGTCTACTGAAAGAATTAGAAAGACATATAGAGGTAATGTTCTTATTCTATGTAAAAGTTCTATTTTGAGAATAAAAAGGTTCTATTTATAGATAAAAATTCTATTAATAGTACAAAAAGTTCTATTTATAGAATAAAAAGTTCTATTTATAGAATAATTTTATAATTGAGAGGGATATGAGTAGTTTTAACTGGTAAATTTGTTATGCATGACAATGGTAAGCATGGTCATATGTTATTACAACTTTGCAGTTTAAAAATTAATTACCAACAAAAAACTTTCTTTTATAAATTTGTAAATGTGTACAAAAACTATTTGTTATTTAGAAATAATATATCTGAGACTGTGATCATATTGCTCAATAACATCACTTTTTGCAGTTCGGATGCGGGGAATTATATCACGAGGGTGTAGCGCATCCGAACGACAAACAGTGATTTTATCAAGCAATAAAATCACTGATTTGGATATATTATTTCGATTCTAACACAACATCAACATAAAAATGCTGCCTTTCCTGATATTAAGCAAAATTGCGCCTGATTTGTTTCGTACTTATTGTCATTGCGTTATGTTTTTAGTGGTTACGTCACATGTAAACTGATTACGTCAAATGTCTAAATATAGAACGTCAACAGTGATTTTGTTGCATAAAAACACACACTTTCGGTTCTTCTACGTTCAATAGGGAAAAATGCAGGTAGTGTTAGAATAAGTACTGAAAGGACTGTTACTATAAAAGTAGGAAGTCTTAAGTGGTGTATACAACATCAACAGTTAGCTGTTATAACAGGAAACATTTATGGTGCTTCAACAACAACAACACCAATTGGATATAACATACTGATCTGCTTATAATTAAAATGGTATATATGTTTTATATGTATTGTTTATATTTTAGGAAAGTCATGTAGACAGAGGGGATACACAGAGGGCTATAGCTGTATACAGAGATATTGCAGTAAGTATCTGATAAGCCCTATATTATTATCATTCATTGTAAGTTTATTCTTACTTTTTAAATGCTTTGCAGGTTCCCCCCCCCCCCACACACACACACTTATTGGCCTGCTTGTGTCTGAAAAAATGTACAGAAAGGCACTTAAGGTCTCCTCCATTGGTATTGTCCTATGTCTGTGTATAATATTGTCAGTTTACTAATATTAAACTTAATAATCTATATTTTATCTTACATTATTGGTTCTTTATTTGCTTTTTTTAACAATTTGGATCTATTAAGTCTCATCTTCGTGCTGTCTGTTATTATACCACAATCATGTTGTATTAAAATCTGTAAACAAGACATTGTTTAAGATTTCACATCTTCTATGATTCAAAAATGATAATTGAATTGGTTGCAATGGCCAAGGGATTAAAGTGTTTGCCTCTGAAATACAAGGACTGTAAGTTTGTAGCATTCTTTAGCCACAACCATGTTTCCTTGTGGCAGCATGGTCAAGAGGTTAAAGTGTCAGGCTAGTAAACATAGTCTGAACAAGGTTCTGGAGCAAGAAACTTTACACTCATTGCTTAGTAATTGTTGGTTCCAAGAATAAATTGGAGATTGTGGAAGTGGTCTATAATCATATAGCATCCTACACAATAAAAAAGTACATATAAACTGATATGACACAAGTACTGTATAATCTAAGAAAATTTGATAAAATTATAGGTTTCCTCACTTTTAAGCTAAATTAAAGTATAAATGTTTAAACTGAACTTTATATTTACACTGACAGTATACTAGGATAGTCACATGTATCATGTTCTAAAATTAGATATTTAATCTCCATAGAGACCATTAAGTTTAATTGGTCATTAAGAAAAAAGAGATATTTTTTCCTTTGTAGAATCACTGTATGGAGATAAGAAAATTAAAGGAAATGGAGCATGAAATTATATCCAGCACAATTAAAGGTTGGGAAGGGGAGGTAAGAACTTATGATACATGTTAATCATTTTGTAAGAGTTGTCTGGATTAGATGACTGAAAGGCTTTGTCATCACTATTGGTTGTATATGTCTTATGATTTTGTCTAGAAGGATTGGGAAAAGCCCCAATTTCATCATAAGGTAGAGTTTGAATTTTTAGCTCACCTGTCACAAAGTGACAGGGTGAGCTTTTGTGATCGCTTTTCGTCCGGCGTCCAGCGTCCGTTAACTTTGACTTTAAATGACATCTCCTCATAAACCACTAAGCCAATTTCATTCAAACTTCACAGGAATGTTTCTTTGGTGGTCACCTTTGAAAATTTTTCAAAGAATTTAATTCCATGCAGAACTCTGGTTGCCATGGCAACCAAAAGAAAAAAACTTTAAATATCTTCTTCTATAAAACCCAAAGAGCTAGAGCTTAGATATTTGGCATGAAACATCTTCTAGTGAGTGTCTACTAAGTTTGTTCAAATAAAAGCCCTGGGATCAATATTGGCCCTGCCCCAGGGGGTCATTGATTTTCCCTATACGCATATACTAAACACTTAAAAAATCTTCTTTTAAAGAACCTAAAGAGCTAGAGCTAAGATATTTAGCATGAAACATCTTCTAATGGGTGTCAACCAAGTTTGTTCAAAAAAAAGCCCTGGGGTCAAAATTGGCCCCGCCCCAGGGGGTCATTGATTTTCCCTATATGCATATAGTAAAAACTTAAAAAATCTTCTTTTAAAGAACCCAAAGAGCTAGAGCTAAGATATTTAGCATGAAACATATTCTAATGGATGTCTACCAAGTTTGTTCTAATAAGAGCCCTGGGGTCAAAATTGGCCCCGCCCCTGGGGTCATTTTTCCTTAAAAACCCGAATAGCTAGAGTTTAGATATTAAGCCTGAAACATTTTCTAGTAAGTGTCTACAAAGATTGTTCAAATAAAAGCCCTAGGGTTTAAACTGGCCCCGCTCCGGGGGCCTATATACAGGTGAGCGACTTCAGGGCCATCATGGCCCTCTTGTTTAGTTGTAGTTAACAAATGGCATAGCTCATGAATGATTTAATTTGTATAAATGACAATATCTAATTTGTCTCTACCTTCATAATTTATGATTAAGAAATGCTTATTACAGAAGTCAGTGGCTCTACACACATGTCTATTTATTTCTTACCAATCACACAGGACTTTCTTCAAATTACATTGGTCCCAGTCTTACACCTTCCATGTAAGCCAAGTTGTATGCTTTAAATGACATCATGTTGACGTGCATTTTATAGAATGGATTGTGTGCTTAGAATAGGGTCAATTTACTATTAGGAATGAAGATGTTAATTCCTTAGCTACTATTAAGAAAGAAGGACTACTTGAAAATAATATTTTTCGTATTTTCTTTACGAAATGTGATTTATTTGTAATATGTAAGAAAAAAAAGGATTAAACACTGGCTGTCGTCATAGAAAGGAATATCTATCTCTCACATAACTGTTTAGTTGAAACTTGTCAGAGCCTTGTTACAGATGTAAACAGTTACAAGTGCTAAAGAAGCAAGGAATTTAACTGTATTTTTCCACTTTTGTGATTTTCTGCTTTATGTTTAATCACTTAGAATACTTGAGAATGGTTTCCTTCTCACACCTCTTGTGAGGGTTTTCACTGTTTTATTTATTTTTAATTTCAATCTAGTTTTGCTTGATTTGTAATTTCTATTTATTATGCCCCCACAGTGTGGGAGCATATAGCGTTGCACTTGTCCATCCATCCGTCCGTACGTCCCGAAATCTTGTGAACGCAACTCCTCTTAAACCGGATGGCAGATTTTGCTTAAACTTACAGGGATGAACAACCTTAATGTGTAGATGGTAGTAAAGGAAGGAATTTTTGCTGCGACCAAATTTAACAGAGTTATGGCCCTTTGTTGATTTTTTCACTATATTCTATGTAGAAATTTTGTGAACGCAACTCCTCTTAAACCGGATGGCAGATTTTGCTTAAACTTACAGGGATGAACAACCTTAATGTTTAGATTGTAGTAAAGGAAGGAATTTTCGCTGCGACCAAATTTAACAGAATTATGGCCCTTTGTTGATTTTTTCACTATATACTATGTTGAAATTTTGTGAACGCAACCCCTCTTAAACCGGACGGCAGATTTTGCTCAAAACTTCCAGGGATTAACAACCTTAATGTGTAGATGGTAGTTAAGGAAGGAACTTTCGCTGCGACCAAATTTAACAGAATTATGGCCCTTTGTTGATTTTTTCACTATATACTATGTTGAAAATTTTGTGAACGCAACTCCTCTTAAACCGGACGGCAGATTTTGCTTAAACTTCCAGGGATTAACAACCTTAATGTGTAGATGGTAGTTAAGGAAGGAACTTTCGCTGCGACCAAATTTAACAGAATTATGGCCCTTTGTTGATTTTTTCACTATATACTATGTAGAAATTTTGTGAACGCAACTCCTCTTAAACCGGATGGCAGATTTTGCGTAAATTTTCAGGGATGAACAACCTTAATGTGTAGATGGTAGTTAAGGAAGGAATTTTTGCTGCGACCAAATTTAACAGAATTATTGCCCTTTGTTGATTTTTAGTTTTCAACTTGTGGCACATGTAGTCCAAAAAATATTTGACCTAGAGTCATAAGATTGACAGAACAGTGGCGTGTCGGGGCATCTGTGTCCTATGGACACATTTCTAGTTTCACTCTGTACTGCTGATAATATTCAGGTCACCTGATTTGTCATTAATGCTTAGATATATGCATTGCCTAATTTTTCCACAGTTTATATGTTATCTGTTTATTTCAGGAAATCTTACATCTCGGTGAAGTGAATCATCTGTCTCAAGTAAAAATAGAAACATCAACTGGCGAGAAACTGGATAGAATATTTATATTGTTCCCTAATGTTTTACTGATGTTATCAAGTAGTCCTAGACTAAGTGGCTACCAGTATGAGGTATGAGAGAATATGTTCTCGTTTTCTTGACCAGTTTTTAATAGTCATGCTTGATTTATTAACTTGGAGTCCTGGAATATGTTCTCTTTTACTTGACCAGTTTCTTTTTTTAAGGAACGCTTGATTTAATTACCTGGAGTCCTGCAATATGTTTCTAATTTGAAAATTTGTGCATTTGCCTTTAATTAGTTTATTCATATTCTGAACTATGTTTTCCATAGCAGAAGCCATTTTCTTTTCAATTTTCAGGAAATAAAAATGTAGGCTACAATTTATGCTAATTTTTTTTTTGTTCATTTTACCACTGCCTAGCAATACCAGGTTTTCTGGAACATGTTCTTTATTTATCTTATTTAAATTTCTGTACTTTTGCCCTTCGTGTGATATTTTCCAGTTTTTTTGCTTCTCTTCAAGTAAAGCTGTCAGATTTAAATTGATAAAAATCTCACAAGTGTTTTATATGAATTTATAGAAACCACTGACTGTGCTTAAAGTTAATTGAAAAATATATGAAATGTTATCTTTTAAACTGTTCAGAGCCAACTTGCTTGAGAAATTTGTTTCATATTTTTCTTTCTGCAAAATTTTGATGGAAACTATTCTTTCAGGGATAACATTGTAATTGAGTAAATTTTGATAGAGAGTAATTAATTTATGGGGATTCTTATTTGATACAATGCTTGTATTGTACTGTCAGTTTTTTGGTGCTTTTTGTGTATAATTTTGTTCATTTTAAGGAGTTTGTTTCTGAATATTACAAGTGCAATACCACTTATGCTTATTAGCTTTATTGAATTCACCAGAATAATTGATTGAATGAAAATAAACTTATGTTTACTCCTAGGGGAAGTTACCAAAATTTGGTGTTATATCCTGTAAATGTATTATCTAATCAATGGGAAGTTACCACCTAATGGTAAAATATTTAAGTTGCTTTTTACCTTTAGGGGAAGTTACCAATAAGTGGCACTATAAGAGGATTATATCTTTTTGTGTCAATGTGTGGATATTAATGTATAGGTGTATACATATTTATGGATGTCAATGTATGGGGTGTCAGTGTATGGATAAATACATTGGAATGTTTAATATTTTTATGGAGTACATGTATATAAAAACTACATACAGTTGTATTTTATTTTCAGGGGAAATTACCACTAAGTGGTATGAAAGTCAGTTTATGTGAAGCTGATGAAGCAGAAGATATTCATCAGTTTGAAATATCAGGTAAGTCGTAAGTTATATTGTCAAATTTCTATATCATTTTGTAAAAAAAATTTCTGTGAAATACTTAACTATGGTAACTATTGGTATACAAAGCCAGTCTTAATCACAGACTTGCTAGATTTAAGGTATTGGTCTTGCATTGTTGTGAAATTAGCAGAGCATGTTGTTTAAGGGGATTCATTATCAAGATACTTAACCTGCATGAAGAGCTTATTAAAGGTTTATGTACTGTTTGGGCAATAGTTACACACATTAGGCACAAAACAATATTTTGCTTACTGTTATTAGTCAAAAGTTACAATATTTTTATAGGTCCAATGATAGAGAAAATGTTAGTCACATGTGGAACAAAAGCAGAGGTAAACTCATGGATGGATGCCTTGAAGAACCATGTTGTTCCCAACCAGTCTACACAATCTAAACCAGTCAGTATACAAGTAAGTATTGACAAACCTGTGTATAAACAATCGTTAATTGTCATTATCCAAGTTAATGTTCTTTTAAACCATTTATTTTACCGGGGATTTCCATCATTATCTGTCATTTGATAATTTAAAGTTTTGAGTTATGTTTAAACTACAAACTAAGACGTGTGTAATGATTGAGGACTAAAATATCGTATAGGACTTCTAAAACCAAGTGGTCAAAGACGTTGACATAGAATCAAGTTTTGAGTCCTACTACTGCTGTGATCAGTCTGTCCTTAACTTACAGACTGCCCTTGATGTTTTCCTCCATCAGTAAAGCTCGAAAATAGCCATTTTGTAAGCTGCAACAAAGTTTAGATACTTTAAAGGGAGACACCGGCAAAATTTTCATTTCTTAGTTTTGAGTTTTTCAGTCATTATTCTGTAAATAACCTCAAAATGAATACATTTGACAGTCAAAGGAAATAAACTTTTCTCCATATAAAGAATAAAATGGCAGTTTCCTAACTTGACCCATGTGGGTCAGGTTAGAGCGCAAGGATTTCACAATAGTTGTCAAAGTGAACTCTGGAAATGTTAAAGAACATTTCAAATGAATGACTTAGACTTGTTTCAATCATACAATATCCATAATATCTGTTATTGTAACTTCAAGGGTTTGTTCAAGTCATATGACTTGTTTTAAAACTACTTGGTGATTCTATTCGGGTCTAAATTTTGTTCAACATATATAGATATATTTATGCTTCAAACCCAAAATATTTAGAATTTAAACAGAAATGCATGCTGAAACTTCAAGAAATGTCATTTTAGCGTGATTTCAGTACATAAGATCATTTTGATATTTTTGTCATTATTTTGCCTAAATATCCCTTTAATAATGGACAGAACATTTTGATCAATGTCTTACAAATATCTAAATTACAGATTATAACAGTAGTAAAACTTTAAGTCTTATATTTTATTAAGGGAACATTTATTTAGATTTTATTTAGGTACATGTATATTTTTAGGTGTCAACATCACAGCCTAGTATAAGCACCTTAACACCCGCCAAAACTGCCAAAGTTAGCGTGACTCATGCCATTACGAGTCTAACGATGAGTAAAACATGGTCAATGTCCTGCTTACGGCCGTCCCCACCCCTCCGACCACCTTTATTATATAGAGAAGATGGAATGAGGAGTCCCAGAGCAGGACGAAAGCTCGGGCGGAGAAAACCAGGTAAGAAAAATTATTGCTTCAAACATTGTCGCTATTATAACGTTTTGTCATTAATGATAGTTTGTGGTGATATTAAACTTTTTGGCTTCACATATATAGAGGTGAGGTGAATCTTTATTTAGTCACAATATATGAACAGGACAGGGCATTAATCGCCCATTGCATAATTTTTTTGAGTATCGGAGACACCTAAAGGATGAAGTATTTTTTCTTTCACAAACTTAATTTTGTAAACATTCAGAGTATAAATTTCTTAACACCCTATGTTAATTATGTTTTGTCAAATCATTAATGCTGCAGACGTAAATTAGATTTGATTCAAAGATATTTATTAACTTTAATTGATAAAATAAGAAAATTTTGATATTGGAATATTTAAGAATCCAAAATAATTAGGTCATTTTTAAAAGCAGCATGCCTCCAGATTCCTACTGATTTTCATGAAATTTTGAAAATGTCTTAAAAAGTCAAATATTGTGAAGTGAACAGAGAAAATAATTCTACTTATTGCAAACGGCACTTGCAACCAATGTATATTATCAAAAAGAGGTTACCATATACCAAAATAGCCCCTACTGAGTTTGAAACGCAGTAAAAATATGGTGATAATTACTGCAAAATATGATATTTTTAAATCTTTGATTTTTTTTTTTTTACTTTTCTTAAAATCATAGTACATTTTTTTAGCTCATCTGTCACAAAGTGACAGGGTGAGCTTTTGTGATTGCTTTTCGTCCGGCGTCCGTCCGGCGTCCGTAAACTTTTACTTTAAATGACATCTTCTCATAAACCACTTAGCCAATTTCATCCAAACTTCACAGGAATGTTCATTTGGTGGTCACCTTTGAAAATTGTTCAAAGAATTTAATTCCATGCAGAACTGTGGTTGCCATGGCAACCAAAAGAAAAAACTTTAAATATCTTCTTCTAAAACCTAAGAGCTAGAGCTTAGATATTTGGCATGAAACATCTTATAGTGAGTGTCTACCAAGTTTGTTCAAATAAAATCCCTGGGGTCAAAATTGGCCCCACCTCAGGGGGTCATTGATTTTCCCTATATGCATATAGTAAAAACTTAAAAAATCTTCTTTTAAAGAACCCAAAGAGCTAGACCAAAGATATTTACCATGAAACATCCTCTAATGGGTGTCTACCAAGTTTGTTCAAATAAAAGCCCTGGGGTCAAAATTTGCCCCGCCCCAGGGGGTCATTGATTTTCCCTATATGCATATAGTAAAAACTTAAAAAATCTTCTTTTAAAGAACCCAAAGAGCTAGAGCTAAGATATTTAGCATGAAGCATGTTCTAATGGATGTCTACCAAGTTTGTTCAAATAAGAGCCCTTGGGTCAAAATTGGCCCCGCCCCAGGGGGTCATTGATTTTCCTTATATGTGTATAGCATAAACTTTAAAGATCTTCTTTGAAAAAAAACAAAACAAATAGCTACAGTTAAGATACTAAGCATGAAACATCTTTTAGTGTGTGTCTACCAAGTTTGTTCTTATAAAAGCCCTAGGGTCAAAATTGGCCCCGCCTTTGGGGTCATTTATTTTCCTTATATGTGTATATATCAAAAACTTAAAAATCTTCTTTGAAAAAACTCAAATAGCGAGAGTTTAGATATTAAGTTTGAAGCATCTTCTAGTGAGTGTCTACAAAGTTTGTTCAAATAAGAGCCCTGGGGTCAAATTTGGCCCCGCCCCGGGGACATTGATTTTCCATATATGTGTATAGCAAAAACTTAAAAATATTCTTTGAAAAAACCCAAATAGCTTGAGTTTAGATATTAAGCATGAAAAATTTTCTAGTAAGTGTCTACAAAGATTGTTCAAATAAAAGCCCTTGGGTCAAAACTGGCCCTGCCCCAGGTGTGTCATTGTTTTAACTATATATGTAAAGAAAAAACTTGACCAGCTAGAGCTTAGATGTTTAGCATGAAACATCTTCTTATGGGTGTCTACCAAGTTTGTTCAAATAAAAGCCCTTGGATTTAAACTGGCTCCGCTCCGGGGGCCTATATACAGGTGAGCGACTTCAGGGCCATCATGGCCCTCTTGTCTTGAAATATTTTGGCTCATCTGGAGGCATGTGCTTTAATTACTAATGATTTATTGAAGATATTTTCAAAAATTACTTTAGAAATAAATGAATAAAATGCTGGCATGAAAAAAGCAATTCTGTTTCTGAATGTTTTGTATGAATTGATAAAGGTTAACTAAATATGACATGTATAATTTCCTGCTGCAGAGAGGACACACTCCCAGGACGAGTACGATAAACGTTATAAGAAGTGTAAGGTTGCATATTGTACTCTTGAATGACCTTTCACCTTTTCTATGTTGTCTTTATGTTGTATCCTTATTGGGCAGAGACACTTTACGTTTAACATATTGTTTCATTTTTTTTTTTGTGATCTTGGCATGAGATTTTTCTACCCGATCTTTACGTATAGGATTTTTTTTGTAGACACATTAAGGATCTAACACGGCTGCTGGTACAGACTGAAATATCTAGCTTCAGCTACTGTTCAGGGCAGTAATGAGGCTTTGCTGAGTTTTCGCCGAACAATTATCCGAGACCTAGATATTCCAGTCTGCTACAACAGCCGGTGTTTGGTTCATTTTCTTGCATGTCACATGTTAATTATATTTCAAAAAGAAATTACGAAAACTAATAATTTCATTAAGCACATTTTCTTACAGTAGCTTATGAATTTACAACTTATTCATAATGGCAAAATGACATCATCCAAAGTATATAGGACAATTGGATCAAAAACCGACACAAATTAAAGTATCAAAACATGTTTTGCTTTATTCAGCTTCCTCATTTGATACATGAAATTCGTGGCATAAAAGGCGTGCAGGTATAACTTGTGACTTGTCTTACACTGACTCGTCTAACACAGGGGGTGTAGGCAGGTTTTTTTAGGACAAGTGTGAAGAGTCTAATAAAATCCTGTCTAATATGCAAGAAAATTTTCTCCCTCAAGTTCTTTCTCACTGACTGTGGACCAAATGTTTAAATCATGATAAAAAAACCATTGGCTTTGTCAGTTATTTGACGTTCCTCCTTCTAACCAAGTCCCACTAAAAAAAGAGCATGTAGCAGGGCTAGCAAAATCTGAATTTGTTCTTAAATTGTCCATATTATATCTATACAGTAAATTCTTAAAAATTTTGGTACACAACCTGGGCAGCACTGACAATTTATTTTGCCACCCCTGCATGAAATAAATTTTCCACCATAATCATAGTCTCATGCTGAGAAACTGCATTATTTTCACCTTAATGTAGAGAATGACCAGTCTCTCTTTCTGTTGTTTGTTAAGTTTTATGTTCAGTTAGTTTACTTCCATAATGTTATACAAAATTCTGTTGAAATTAATGTATTTTAAAAACAATGTTTGTTTGAATGGGTTTGCTTTATGTAAAGCTTTTATGTAACAGACAGTGGAATTATGCTTGTTTATTTGTGTATAACAAAATATCCTTGAAAAATTGTTAACTTAATAAACTGTAGCTATAAATGAGCATGGAGACTGAAAAAAGTATAAGCAAATAACCAAGTTAGGTTTAAGAAACTTGAAATATACTTGGAAGAAAATATTTAAGTGTATTATTTTTTAATATGTGTAAATAACATTTTAGGGTGTGTCTTTGGTGGAATATAAGTGTTTTATTATCAAGTATAAGGTCATAGATACATTTTCCAGTGATGTTATTGATCTATGTTTATTTGTCACATTTTGTTTTTTTATAAACCAATGATATAAAATAAGTCCGTAGATATAGCATTTTGCATATATTGACAGATAATGTTTATTCTTGTATTTATTCCAGTGATGATATTTATCATATATACATGTATATCATATCCCAGACAGATCTCATATACAATATTGAAGCATGTTGATAGTGTTTAGTGCATTTCATGATAAAATTTTATAGATTAAACACTTTAATTATTAGAGATGAGACAGACATGCCATCAGCATGGATTTGACCTTGACCCTTGATATTACGGTTATTACCCTAGTAATAGGAATGAATTTAAAAGATAAGATATAGATATTTGATATTTGCATGCAGTGTATAAGTGAAGTTGTAAATAAAGAAGATTGTAGCCTCTAAACTAATATCACATACTAATTCAACAAGTTTCTATTTTGCTCATTGGGCAAAAAAATCTACTGAATCAAATATAAGCAAGTGGTATTAGACTAGTAGATTTTAAAGCTGAAAAAAAAAAAAATTGTTCATGTCCCATCAAATTACACTCCATGTTGAAATTAATTATGGTCAGTTAACTTGAGACTCAATTTTGTTTAATATAATTTCTTTTTATATTTTATTTGAAACAGTTTTCAAGGCCCATTTTACATGTATCCTGAACATTTTTACCTTGTGCTTAATTGCCTTTTTATGTAGTTATTCCTATAGGAGAGTGTAATGCTATATTAAATTATCCACTAAACAGCTCACATTAGCTGTTTAAGTGTTATTAATAAAACATTCCATTCCATTTTAGATCTATTTTTATGCCCTCCAGTCCCTACCCCCATCCCCTGTATCCCTGTCCCCACCTTCATAGATGGAGATATTGTTATCACCAATCTTTGTGGGGAGATGTTGAACATCACCTGTAGTAATGATAATAATTATGATAATAACATCTTCCTTGAACAAGCTAGAGTCTACACTTTTTTGGCACATCAAACCACTGGTTTGATAAATTGAAGTATGAAATGATAAAATTCATGATAAAATTTCTAGTTTGCGGAAATGTTACCATAACATTGTTATTTATTTATCAGAAATTTTGGGACAGCTTGGTTACCAACTTTACTTTCAGCTATGTCATATAGATATTTGTTTTTAAGTTGAATGTGTTTTGTAAATCAGTCATTATGCTTCAGAGAGGTAGGTTTATCTTTCAACTGCTTTGTACGAGGTTGAATACACAACAACTTTGCTTTTAATATTTACTTTTTTTGTCTTAAAGGTTACAAGTACATACAAATTACTCATTCACTATAATTATACAAATTGCCAACAGAGCAGTGCAAGCAAAAGATTGTTCATCTCTGTTGCAAATGAGTAGTTTTTTCAAAACTGTAACAAGATACCAAAAATGAAAAGTTTTTGAGAAATAAAAAATAACAGTTTTTCTGGGGCATAATGAGCCTTTAAAGGGATTTTTGATAAATATCAAAATATAAGAATTGAGCTTCCAAAATGTTAAGTATAGGGACTGGAATGAAATTGATCATTATTATTGTTCAAGGGTTAATGAGCCCAAAAGAAAAAAAATTAACAAAAAAATATATACACAATTGAGCTCATTTGAATATAATTTTTAATTATCTAAATGAATGGTATTAACAAAATAGAAGATTTCATTCAAAGGTACAGAAAGTTGAAATTATTTATATGCACCCAATGAATAATGGACACAACAGAACTTTATTGTGCTAAAATATGAAAAAAAAGAAGATTAAATGTACCTGATAGAACCTAAAGATACTGAACATTGAATTATTTGAATAAAACTAAATAAACACAATAGAACCCAATGGATTAACTAAATTAACCCAAAGGAACAGAAATGATATTATATTAGATTGTTATGTTTTCAGATGATCCTAGAACTAATTCAGAAGATGCTCTCATATTGAAAGTGATCGAGGCGTATTGTACCAGTGCAAAAACACGTCATACTGTCAACTCATGTAAGTATATCCCTCACAAAGTGTGTATGTAGTAATATTGTACATAATGTTGTTTCAACCCTTTACCTGCTGGAACATAAAGTGTTTAAAAAAATTATACAAGTGTAGGGTCAGGCTATTCTGCACTTCCATGCCGTCTGACTGGGCGCTATAATTTTCTGTAGCTGAATTTTATGATTTTGATACTGACCTCCCTATAACTTTGAATGGACTGTTCCAAATTCAAAGCTGGGGCAAATCCATTATACATATTCCGCAGGTACAGGGTTTTATGTTGTGATGTTAATGAATTTTGTAAAAGTGTTTGATTCTATAGATTTTCATCATATTATTATATAATCATTATGGGGTGAATAAACAAAATTTCCCAGTTTTGGCCTCAGAAAAAACAACAACAACAACAACAAAAAGAGAAAAGAATAAAGATTATAAATTATAATCATTATGATAATGATTTTGTAAATAGCTCAAGATATTTTTATCTTTTTGTAAATTTAAAGGATTTTTTTGGGGGGACAAGATTATTTGGTTTTTAATTGGGGTATTTTAAAAGTAGGGAGAGCTATTTGCTGGCAGTGATGTCATACTCTGGTTAAGTTTTTGTATGCAACTTAGTATCTCAAAAGCTATTAAAAGGGATTGGTTGAATTTTCACAGACTTGTTGTCAGTGATTATCTAACATGATTGGCAAAGGTCCCATAACTCTGAGTTACCTTTTGACAGAGTTATGCCCCTTTTTTTACTGACAAGCACTGAGAAGAGTCGAGCATACTGTCTTACGGACAGCTCTTGTTTTTAAATACATTTAACTGGTAAAGTGATTGGATTATCAGTTTTATGTAGATACAAAGAATGGACAAACAGGTGTGATGTACTGTCTGTGCTGTACATGAATATGAGCCGCGTTATGACAAAACCAGCATAATGCGTTTGCGACCAGCATGGATCCAGACCAGCCTGTGCATCCGCGCAGTCTGATCAGGATCCATGCTGTTCGCTTACAAACCCTATTACAAATAGAGAAACTGATAGTGAACAGCATGGATCCTGATCAGACTATGTGTATGCGCAGGCTGGTCTGGATCCATGCTGGTAAAAAAAAACTAAGCAAATGCACTATGTTGGTTTTTTCATATTATGTTTTATTACTAGTTATAATTCTATAATTCTGGGTGTTATGAAAAACAATTGGATTTTATGACAACAGAAAATTTTATTGGCTAGGGTTGGCTTAATCATTATGTAATGACTTTTAATAAAATGTGATGAAAATCTATATGAGAATACAAATATTGATCTTACTTGCAAAGATTTCAAGGTGAGTAAAACAGAAAAACAAAATGCACAATGTATTGTTGTGGTTCATACCTACAACAGACAAAACACATGATCTGTTTGTAGAAAATTATGTTGTGTTTAGTTACCTCAGTTAAAACAACATATTATATGTTGTAAAGTTATGTTGTATTAATGTTGCAATATTGTGGCTTTCAGGGTGTTCTAGTGTTTATATTTTCATCTATTTAAAAAAAGACCTCAGACTCTCTCATTATACTTTCCATAAACATTTTTAAATCATCATTTATAGATATATATCCTTATTTTTTATCGATCAGTCTACTTAGGACAAGTTATTTTATAGTACATTAATTGGTTAATAATATCTTGTTGAAAACAATTTAAGGTTGATTCTAAAGAGGTAAAGGCTCCTGTTTAAAACTGATCCCTGATATCAAGAAAATAATCGTTTAACTTTGTTCAATGTTATGATATTGAAATAGTATTGATAATTCATTTATTGTGGCTTTTATTCAAATCAATTCAACATCATTTAAATATTTCTATATCTATGTATGAACATTTTCTTGTATAGATAAATCACCTGATATAATAGTGGAAAATACAGAAAACCAAAATGACCAAGGTATATACCTCGTGACTGCATAATTTCATGTAGAACATTTTGATATGTGAGATGACATGTCTGGTCTGTCTGTCTGGTACAAATTAAGAATGAGCATTTATTGCATATTGGTAGACCCCTTAGGATTGACTCTTCACCATCATGGTGGACAAACCACATGGTTTTTGATGTCATAAAATAGCAACACAAGCAGAAAACTTTAAACAGTGCACTGGCTTATGGTTTTCCAAGTAATAGAAAGAGCATCAAAACACGAGGCTATCTGATTTGTACGAGGGGGCATAGCCCCTGAGTATTCATCAGACTGTCGACTGTTTTTATGTTCTTTTTCTTTTGTATCATAGTCAAATATAAAAACACGTTCCCTGTTGTCACAATATGAAACCCCTGCAAAAAGGAACCAATGAACGAACATCTGAATATGATATTTCTGTCGCTTTCCCTTTCTCTGCCGTCACAATATGTAAACCCCAACAAAAATGAGCCAATCAATGAGCATGCTCTGGAGTGTGGGTAACAAATACCTGCACTCCAATTAAACACACTGTGCATGTATATGTATATGATTTAACTCTGACACATTTTCAACAGAAAGGTCCCTAAACTATGATACAATTGAGTGTTGGACTTTCAATAATTGGTTGCATTCGGTTAAAATGTAAAGGGACTTATATCTTTCAAAATCTCAAAGCGAGAGCTATGTTTACAGTGTTGTGCTTTATGTGTTACCATTTTATGATGTCATGACCACACGGTATGTCCAAACTGACCACTGTGTTCATACCAGTACCTTTCACAGAATTGCATTGTGGGAAGATATTGAAATAATAAAGTGAAAATAATTTTCAAATGATAGTTAGTAATTGTTTGTGTATACATATTTGATGATAAAAATGTCTTATCAATTTTCATGTTGTATAGCTAAATGTGCATATTTATAGTTTTATAGATAGATAAGATTTGAGTCATATTTGAATAAAGTTACTGAGAGATTTAAAAATATAATTAAAATCTGGATCAATTGGTATTGTTTCTTATGATCTATGTTTATGATTAAAGCTGTAAACTTTGGTTGCTTTGAATATAGAGGTTTTTTTTACCGGGTGCCTCTTCGGTGCATTATTTCATGCACAAACGGGTACTTGAATAGAAACATTGACATTCTGTAAGCTAGCTGGATAGCTTTCTCACATGAAAGAATCCATGGTCCCTGTCCGGAATCGAACCCACGTGGTTAGGGGCAAATAGTTTGAAGTCAACGACATTAACCGCCCGATGAGCTTTGAATATAGCTGTATTTAAATATGACTCAATTTAAAAAAAAATGTATTTGTGAGTGTACTATATTGCATAGCTGCCTATAATCTTTAAATGTAACATAGAGTTCATGGTATTGTGTATTGATACAAGTGCATATTTTATGTTGTAGCTGTGTGTAATTCATTTTGGCATATAATATTATGTGACAAGCATGTTGCTTTATACTGTGCGTGACATTAGCTGTTCTGTTGTTTAGGAAAATCATGAAGCTATTATGACTTCTTATTTATGTAAATATATGGTTTACTTAATTGTTACAAAAAAGCAAAATGTATACAGATTAGTATATATGCATGAGCTAATATTGTAGGCATGTCATATAGCTTTGAACGTTAATGTTCCATATTTAAGTTTGTTAGGGTAAACAAATTATGTTTCTTACTTTTGCTTGCCAGATCACAAACTTTTTAAACGATATTCTGCGACTTGCAACACCGTTAAAATTTGAGTATGATTTATGGTCTTGAAACTAGTGAAAATTTCTGATCTGACTGCTTGAAAACTGATGATCCAGTATGTTAATGCTGGTATTTGTAATGTTAGAGATAATCTACTATTATTGATCATGGGAATCTATAACCTTTGATAGCCTGAAATACTCTAATATAATCATACAGCTGATATAAGGGGTTGTATGGATGGGAGGTTAATATCTGGCAATGCCTTCTAATTGCTCCTCCCTCAGCCTAATTGTTTCTCCCTCAGTTTTGAGTCCCATTAGGATAAGAAATCTGCCACATTATAAGCTATTCAGGTAGCTCCAGAAGGTAGGTGGTTCTACTCAAGTTCCTGATTCCAACAAGATAATGAATGCATAGAGAAGCACTCTTAATTCTTACTGGTGAAGTTTGAAAAAGTCACAATGTGACCTGCGCAATGTCAGTGTCACTTTTCACTCTGTCAACAATGTTTCAATTTTTATTTCGTTTCACAAGATGTTTTGGTTTATTTTGATGAGACAAATTTTTCCTGTTCTCAAGAACTGTTCATTTATTTATGTCTTATATTTGAATTCAGCCATGAATGTGGTTATGATGTTTTATGAATTATTTGTTAATTTTAAAAAAATTTCAATCTTTGTCTTCTTATCTTTCCTGCTGCTTTTTGGATAATTTTTCAATGAATTTATCTGATTGGATAATTCAAAATTTGACATCAACCAATGAAAACAACAGTGGATCTGAAGAAGCTCCGCCTCTGCTCAGCTGACAGTGGAGTTGGCCAATCACAGGAGCCACTGAGTTCACCAGAGTGGGATGAGTTTCCATTCACAGAGACTGGGGGAGGGATGATTCATGGATTCTGCTGTGCTACTTTCCCTCTTGCTAAAGGACTGACAAAGACTTTGAAAAGACTTTAATATATTATTTTATACTCATTGCATATATAACTACTGTCATTTTTTTGTGGAATTGTATTTTACATGCTTAATTTTTGTAAGCTCATTATTTTTTGATATTTAAGATATCAGAGGCCTTGATGATAAATGGTAAAGGGACCATAAGAAATACAAGCTCATAGTATATGCAGTCACAGAAATATTTTTGCAATTAGACAGGAGGTCAGCATTGATTTTAAACCTTAAAAAAAAACACTGGTTAAAAAATCTTGCTGTTTAATTACCTAGTATTTAATGGTAGTCTTAGAGTGACATGTGGAAGAATGTCTTATGATATGAGGAAATGACCAAGGCTTTTACAGATGCTTAAAACAGTTTTTATTACAATGTTAAGTATAATTTAAGTGCAAAAAGGTCACATACTTGCACTGCTGACTTAACAGGCTCTTAGAGTGTCATTAGTAACTTAGAATGCCATAGGAGAAAATTAATATAAGATATCTGGCCTAATAATCATTTTTGCATTAATTGTAGGACAGCATAACAATCATTTTGACATCAATTTTAGGACGGCATAAAACTTGACTTACTGTATATCATGAAAATCATTTTATGTACTGTACAAGTATCGGAGAGCTTGATTAATAAGTAAAAAGTGATAACAATTTTGTGTTTTGTTCCATTAAATGTCTGTAAATAAGTAAGATTATGTCTTTTTGTTTTATTAGTGTTTGTTTTGTATGTATAAATTTGAACTTTTAAAGTGAAAATAAGTGATATGTCTTTTGAGTTAAATTGATATTTTTCTTTTAAAGGATAAAAGGAAGCGGAAAAAACTGCACTAAAGATAACTAAATTGAAGAAATTTTTTTCATTTTACTATTGTTACATTTACTTGACATTTGATATAATTGAAATATTTGTCAACATTCTGTTTGTTTGAAACATGTTAAGTTGTAATGTACAACACAAGAGTCATATTACCAAAAAAAGAAAAAATTTTACCCTTATAAAAAAGTCGGGCAATTAAAAACCAACTTTTTTTAGTCATAAAACTTATTGCATATGAATGAGGTTGATTTTGGGCCGCATATTTTTAAATTAAAAAAGGTACATTAAGGTTTTCTTAAAACCCAAGAGTTAAAATTACTTGTTAAATTATTTCAAGTTTTTAAAACAAGGAAATAAAATGTGTTTATAATATAAATGAGCATCTTTTTAGTTTAACTATGAGGAAATAACTGCACTAAAGATGATGAATTTGTGGAAAATTTGATTTTTTTTTTTTTTTTTTTTTTTTTTGTAATATTTATGTTCATTTTACTGTTAATCTTTTTAGTTTAACTAAGATTGAAAACAAAAATCATGTAATAATTTATGTAAATACATTTCATGCATAATACATGTTTTATAGATAATTTGCACTGCATAAGATATTCTCAAATGTTATATATAAGTTAACAACACACTGACACAATATAAATACTTGCTCCATGATAAGTTTTATGATTTGCTGAATTGCTTAATATGATGTCATCATCAGACATTTTTTTGTTGTTTACATTGTGTAACTGATTAAATCATTGTAATATAATGACTATTTTATTTTTATTTTCCATGAAATATGTAAATTACAGTCAAAAATGACTACATAATAGAAAATCTGTCTCTGTGAGCAAATATTTTAAACACTGATTATTTGTCATACATTGTTCTAAGCTCATTTTCCCAAGCTGCCTTTGTTTTCTTGTTAGGTACATAATTAAATTAAGAGTTTCAAAAGGGGAAAAATTGACTTTGTGACAATGTATCTTACTTGAAAAGGCTTACTCAGAATTAAAAATATTTTGGGCTTTACTAACTAATTTGGGGATATAAACAAACTTTTACAATTACAACTTCCAAAATAAGCCCAACAAGTTAACTAATCTATTGTGAACTAAAGGGCACAGTGTGAAGCTTTAAATATTTAAAATTTGTTTGTACTTGTGGGGAAAAGCTTGCAAAATCCCACATTTGCCGAGTTCCCCATAGCATTAATTGAAGTAGCAAAAATGACATGCTAAATACTTGTCCAGTGTTTTATACAATTTTAACATTTTGATAATGAAATTCCTCCCATAAACCCTTAACCGGCTCGAGTCAAAAGTGATTAGTCATACCACCAGTACAGAGCCAGGTCAGCCTGCACATCTGAGGCCCTATACTGTTAATAGCTTTTTTATTTCTTTATATTGTTATCACTTTAACTAAAAATGTATTGTTTCAAATTCTAAACTTTAAATATATTATTTCTAATTCAGTATAGGGCAAATCCATTACACCAATGCAGCAGGTTAAAAGACATTATATATGCCATAATTTCTACGTTACTTTCTGGGACACTTCATTAATTTTGGGGTACTTTCCGGGACACTTTTCATTGGGAAACTTTCTGGGGACACTTCATTGTGGGGACTTTCCTGGACACTTTTCATTGTGGGGACTTTCCTTGGGGAACTTTCCGGGACACTTCATGGGGTGATTGGGGCTGAGATTCAAAGAAAGACAAGCTGATTATGTTCCTGTCCAGTGATAATAACGATTTACACTGAAATTTGATTACAGTTGTATTTGAAAATGTATTTTTTAGATAATATATCTGTTTGTCATTTATAAATGATATTTATCAGTTTATAATCAGTGGTCATGTAAAACTAACATTTTAGAAGTTTAGTTAGTGGTCATGCTACACTAACATTTAGCAGTGTGGAGGGACACACTCTACAGAATCTTACCTGATCTTGTTGTCAAGGTAAATTAGGTGTTGTCATGTGTTTTACTTTACTATATTTTTTATCTATATTTGTATTTTATAATAGCCTGCTGTTTATTATTTAAACTAACTTGAAAATGTACTTTACTAACTTTAAACTCTTATTATGGAATATTGGTTCTATTTTTTTTACAGTTTTTTTTAAACATGTTATTTTTATCTTTTCCCCCTTAGACTTTTTCAGTACTCGGCTATTAAATACTATAAAATAGTTGATTTATTTTTTGGGATAGGTTTTATGCTCTAAATTTGTAACCTGCTGGAACTAAAAGTGACTAGCCTTTTCTGCCAGTATAGATCCAGGCCAGCCTGCACATCCATGGCTGACCAACTTCATATTTTCAGAGGATCCAGGATACAATATATTGACAACTAAGGTAAAACCCCTTCATTAACATTAAATGGGCTATTCCAAATTACAGCAGGTTCAAGTCTATTATGATAGAAAAGCTCATATATGGTAATAAGGGATACAGATAATTATTTGTGGGACAAGTATGTATGTAGTAAATCTGAAATAACCTGTAATTTTCTTAGACAAATACAAAAAATGTAAAACATGTTTTATCACTTAGTATATTATTCTATCAATTTCAGCCATTTTATACAGTCCTAATGTATTAATACCCCAAGAGGAGAAGATCATTGTAGATGATGGGGGTGGACCAGACATGCTTCAGGAAAAGTAAGTTCTCCCCTCCCCATACCTAAATTAATGGATTTTTTTCCCAAAAAAAAATTAGGTTTAAAAACAAAAGTCAAAATAGCGTTTGGGCTCAATAGGGGAAAGCGTTGGGGGTGAATGGGAGGGCCAGGTTAATTTTATAAGTACAGGTAATTGAAATCAAAAATCCTTTCTAGCCCTTTAACTTACTCTCCCCTGGCATGTTAAAAAGTTATCATTTTTTTTAAAAGTGAAGAATAGACGGAAATGGTTGACAGCCTGCCCAAGAACGATGTGGTGGCTGAACTGTGCTCTTGTTTATTCATTGTGGCTAACTGCCGTGATCCAAGAGTGAAAACACCATCATTAAAACAGGGATGCCAAGGATATTCAGAATTTAGTTTTGGTTTGTTTCCATAAGTAAGCTGTTTGACCAATTTAATTTGTTGATTTGCTTATAAACAGTTGATTCAGTAGATTGATTAAATTAACCAACTTACTAAGTAAATATGTTGAAGTCGATTTAAAATACTGCATTCATATTGGACAAAAAATAATTCAAACACTTATTTGAAAAAAAAAAAAAAAATTTCTGTGTTATTTACTAAAAAAATATTATAACAAACACAAGGCATGATCAATAAAATGCCGGTTTGGTAGAAATCATTTAAATAAACTAATTTCAATTTTTAACACAGTACATATTATAATAAGCATCTTTTGAATCAGACTGACTTTGATTCATTTTTGAAAAAATGTAAAAATCAACAATGTTATAACTTTTTTTTTTTTTACCTTTATTAATCTATTACCTACAAATAAAAATAAAACAAAAAATAACGACTTAAAAAAAATAACAATTAATCGTAGTACCCTCACAGAAAAAATGACCATTAAGGAAAAATTAGGAGCGACTACAACCCCTCCGACTGAAAGTAAACAGTCCAAACAATGGACTGGGTGAGTTGGGAATGATATCTCCTTGTTGTAAACCAATTATCACTCCGCATGGTCACTGTTGTTTCTGTTTTGAGTTATTTTTGAATGTGTTCCTTATCAGTTAATAATGTACCACAAGGAAGAAAAATGTTTTCGAATGGTCTAAAAGATGGTCAAAATTCAATGATTATGGCAAAGATTGGCAAATGCTCAGTGTACCCCTTGTTTGGAATTGAAGGTTTTAATTAATTTAAGTATTGTTTTATATTTTATTTTTTGTGAAGCATGGTCTTTTTGTTTTTGGATGCCTATGGTAGTGATAGAGGATTATTTTCGTTTAAGTTTCATTTTTATTTCAGTTAAAAAATTTCTGTGTTTTATTTTAATGTTGTAAGGGATTTTTCAATGCTTGGTTATGCATGAATGTTGTGATGAAATGTGTATGTTAAAATGAGCTTCGTCACCACAAAACTAACGTAATGCGTTTGCGACCAGCATGGATCCAGACCAGCCTGCGGATCCACGTAGTCTGATCAGGATCCATGCTGTTCGCTTACAAACCCTATTACAAGTAGAGAAACTGATAGCGAACAGCATGGAACCTGATCAGACTGCGCGGATGAGCAGGCTGGTCTAGATCCATGCTGGTCGCAAACGCATTACTTGGGTTTTGTCATGACGCGGCTCAAATGATAAAATTTTAATTAAAAATAATCAAGATTCAAGTAAAATTTTACAAGTCATGGACGATTTATAGCTGATTTTGCAGTATTTATCGCCATATTTGTACAGTGTTACTAACACAGTAAGGGCTATTTTTCCCATATTTTGACCTCTTTTTGGTAATTTACTAGGATTGTAAGCACCATTTGTGCTGTGTAAATACCATTGCCGTAAAATACCGATTATACCGGTAAGCACTGAATGGTATGCCTTTTTCACAGCAAATTTATTCACCCAAACAAGTCAGCAAGTTGTTGCTACTTCGCTTTTAGCGAACTTCAGATATAACGAACAATATTTAAATGTCCCATTGAATTTGTTACAAGCGGAGTCAACTGTATATCTTTATTCAGTTTACAATATTTTACTTATAAATATATTTTCAAAATTCTGGGTAAAATAAGCGTAGGCGTGCTGCTTTAACAGCAGACAGTTCCACATTCAAAACATGATGAGTCCACTTTTTGATGCAAGCAGATATGGATTAATATGGCTCTCTAAGTTTCGTATTTGCCAGTGAAGCTTGAAATATGTGCCTGCTATCAAACTCAAGAAGGTGTATTGATTAATAATTTAATGGCAACATATATGAACCGCGCCTTGACAAAACCAACACAGTGTGTTTGCAACCAGCATGGATCCAGACCAGCCCTCGCAGTCTGATCAGGATCCATGCTGTTCACTTACAAACCCTATTACAAGTAGAGAAACTAATAGCAAATGCACTATGTTGGTTTTATCATGGCGCAGATCATATTTCTAATTTTATAAACCTGTATAGTCTACATATATACATATTTTTACCAAGAAGTACATGTCATATAAGATGATATATTAAAGGCGTGTTTGCAATCATTTCAGGTCATTGGTTGATACTGTATATTCATTAAGGGACCAAGTTAAGGCACTAGAAATGGTAAGTTGTCTTTTTTGTTTTCTTCATTAATAAAAGTGTATAAAGAAGACTTAAATTGTACTTGTTTTCAGACCATGTACAGTGTTAAGAAATGATCATTTCATCTTATTATATATCAGTAAAGGAGTCATATAAAAATGAACCATGGAAGAGCATACCTTATTGGTCTTCTCATATATATAATGTAATATAGAATAGTTGAACAGAATCAAAACAAAAAGACGCATATTGTTGTCAAATGATGTCACATTATGTATTACTTCATATTCTTTAAGGCATGGAGTTAATATGTAGAATATGCTGTTAATGTACCATTTTATGCATGTTATATGGCAATTAAAAATCTTGCGAACGTTTCACTAACATTCTGTAAGTTTTGCATATTTTTTTACGTAAATTTGGTCTTACGCCCTAAACTTAAATTTTCCTTAGTTGCATTTCTCTAAACATACTGTGCAATTTACGCCAGTAATAAGTGAGCTTAACTTTACGTTTAAACTTAAGCAAATGCGAAGCTTAGAAAGTTAAGTATAACGCAAATAAATAGGTAAGTTCTGCTTACACAAAAAGTTCAAATTTGAGTTACAATAACGTTAGTACATTAGTGAAAAGCACCCCTGGTCTGAAAGCTAGAAAATGATTTTAAATGACTGTTTATTAAGGTCTTGCTGTTATAAACATAATTATGCAACTCGTTTACAATGTAAACAAACCTCGTTTCTTTTAATCAAATATACATGAATATTATTTCAGGATCAGAAGAAAATGAAGAAAGATTTAGAAGACGAAGCAAAGGCTCGGAAATCTCTGGAAAATCAACTAAAGAAGTTTATGAAAAGTCAACAAGCTATGAATATAGTGAACAAAGACAAGGAAATGGAAGAAAACCATACCTGATAGTTACTGTTATGGACAAAAAATATTTTTATTACTTTATTTATGTTAAAAATATGATTCAGGAAATCCGAAAGATAGTCTTATATTTTGTTACAGAGATTTTTTTTATGAATTTTTGTTAATGGTATGCCTTTCTGTCCCTTGTGTTATTCAGATATGGGTAAAAGGTGAGCCCAGGGATGTATCATAATATATGATAGAATTATATATCATGTTATGCAGAATGTGTCATTAGATGTCAGTAATTTCATTTAATTAGGTCAGCTGATTAGTCATTTACATTGACTTTAGGACAAATTTTCAATCAGTCACTTGACATTAGGACAAATTTTCAATCAACTAATTGACATTAGCAGTTGACAATAGGACAAATTTTAAATCAATTACTTGACATTACAACAAATGATCAACCACTTAACCAAAATGTAAGAATAGTCAATTAGTCAATGTATTAATGGAATAAATGTTAACCACCTGTCATTCAAATGATAAAATTACAATACGGCACATATAACTTGGGCACATTCTAGTAGTATAAACATGTGCTTCAGATTTATTTTAATTTTCAGTTGAACATGAAGAATTCCGTCAGCTGTACTGACTTTGTTTAAGTGGCCAATTAATGATATATCTCTTGTTTCTCAACACTAAAAATACCTCTGTTCAAACAGCCACATTCTAAAATTTTTGTTTTCATTGTTGATGTTACTTTGATACATTAACTGGTTGTATATTTTTTCTGTTATAACAGCCTGAATTGAAAAAAAAAATCTTTAAATCAAATCCACTTACAAAGTTTGGTTAATTTGTGAATAATCATCCATGGAGGATATAATTCTGTGTATGACTTACTGATGATTTAATAATTGATATTTTTAACAAAAAATGAAAGCTTTTATTTCCATTTATTAAAGGTAACCAGTGAATATTTTTACATTAGAAATATTTACTCAGTGACATTGATTGTCTCCCCTGAAATATAATACTGTTTGTCTCCCCTGAAATATAATACTTGTTGCATTATTGTATAAAAGAAGGTGTATGTCTAGTCAGAAAAATGTAATATTGTTTTTAAAGGCCCAATTATGCCTCAGAAATGCTGCCAATTTTATTTCTCAAAAACTTGATGTTCGCTTTCTTGTTACAGTTTTCAAAGTAATTTACCTTTGTCATATACATGGACTGTTTATTTCAACTATAGCAGTGTTGGCAACTAGTATAATTCTAGTGATAAGTATTTTGTAAGGAGGTCAAAATACTATGTTGTTTACATTTTGCTATCTTTATAACACATAACTACACATTCAGCGCTACCTTTTTCAGTTGTTAACATCTAACATGCTCTAAATCCATTATTCAAACACTATTAACACATGTCTGAAATTTCTGAAAATTAAAAAAATATATTGATTTCTGAGGCATAATGTGCCTTTAAAGTATCATATACTGAATTTGAATTGCTGAAATTACTTTATGTAGAATGGGTAACTTTAAACAGCTCATTTGGACCTATTATGCTTACTGATATTCAGAGATTATGACCTTTTAGAGGTTGAAAATTTGAAGGGAAAGTTGCATTTAAATATTTTACAGTAGCAGTGAAAGTAACAGTATTTTGTTAGACATTTTTAGAAATCATTGAAACAGTATTTAACCAAATATGTTTCAATGGTTTCAAACTTTTTTTGTATTTGACAGATTGATTTGCATTTTAACAAATTATTTTGTTACTTAATTAAGATTTTTAAATTTGGCATATTTTTATATGTATTTGCAATTTTTTAAGCAGTAGTTTATGGTGATTGGTTACCTTGTAGCTGTCCAATTAGCCAATGATATTTGTATTTTTGAATTCAATCATGAGTTATAACCGAAGCTCCGATAGACTGATTTGATAACCATTAATTGTAAATTTAATTATAAGAATATGTATATAATTGATAGAACTTAAAAAAGGTACCAAAAAAGTTGGCTTTGAAAGTGATAATTTTCAAAAGTGAATTGTTACTTAATTAAGATAGCCAGATATAGAGCCTATTCATGAATGCGTTTGTTTTAACAAATTTTATTTTGGTTATCATTTATGACTTGGTGCCAAATTAAACATACATGGACCACATGCCCTTCACTGCTGTGGGTTCGAATCTCGACAGGGACTTACTTCATTTGAGGAAGCTACCCACTTACATGTGTAGCTTACAGAATGTTTGTGGTTCTACTCAGTTACCCGTCTGTGCTTGAAATAATGCATGGAAAGGCATCTGAGGTCTTCCTCCACCAGTAAAGCTGGAAAGTTGCCATTATGACCTATACTGTGTAGGTGCGACATTAAACCTAACCAAGAAAAAAAAAATAAATACAAATTTATATTGATATTTGTAAAATTTAAACTTCAGTTAACAAGCTAGAAATATTTAGATTTAAGAAAATTTCTTTTATTTTCAAGAATTTTATATCTATAAAATCAGATAATTTGATATTTAACTTGTTTAGATTTGTGATTCCTTCAATATATAAACAGCTATATTCACCTGTATGTATGACATGTCTGTTACATTGTTAGGGAAAATAATATAACTACAGAAGTTTATTTAATACATAAACACTTGTGATCCCTGTATATAAAGTTAATATGCATAATATATGTTAACTTTTGCTGATATAGCAAAAGATGTAATAAATTTTTAGCAACACTGATATTTGTTACCACTTTTCTGTTTTTCCACTTTCATTTGTTGCTAAACTGTTTGTATTACATCATAACAGGGTCTGAAAATTCTGATCATAGGCACCGTAACTGGAGCTAAGTGTATTGGCTAAGGTGCAAGCCTATGATGATTTATGAACAACTAGGTCTGACCATTTTTCTCATACCCCCCAGTAATTACTATTTAGTTCCTTCAGGAAGCAGCAGACTTTTATGGTTAAGTTCTGCATATTTTATATTCATTCGTAGACTTATTACCTTTTGGAAAATAACACCTAGGATAAGAAAACCCTGGAATGGATATTTATCAGCTTAAGCATGTTCACCATTAATTAAGATACTCTAAATTATTACAGATACCTATTAACTTTGCAATAAAAAAATGTTACAAAAACTGCAATGAAAATTGTCAATATCTAAAAATATTTAGGCCGAACCTTATCCGTGTGTAAATAAGACGCATATGGCTAATCTTAATTAATTTAGAAATTGTTTAATGTACGACATGAAACCTCGTTGAGCATAGCACGTATTTGATTTTAATTTACTTTTTTAAAGGGTCCAAAATAAACATAAAAATACGTGACATCACAAACCATTTAAATGCATCAGTATTAAGTACCAACATAGTATTAAGTTGCATTGTAGTTTAAAGACACATAATGCCGTAGAAATAATGTTTTCAAAAATGCTTTAGATAGGGCAAACTTGAGTTTTATAACGTTTAAATAGATTTTACGGAATTTAAATGCTTATATTAAACCCCTAAAATCTTTAAAAATTTTTGTTTTAAAAAACTAGAAAAATTGCTATGCTGAACGTCCATTTAAAAAAATTCAGCCAGGGAAGGTTTTAAAAAATTAAAATACTAATTTTATTTTACATTGTGCTGATAAATATACCCAAATATCTCGATAAAATTATCAAAACATTTTTTTTTTCTTCCACCAGCAATTTGATTTTTGTCTTGTGAAAATCGATTGACAAATATCATTACATTTCGGTAATAAACTTGACAACACTGACCTTCACAATTCTGTATAGGTCATTACGAGATTTTAAAAGCCTATAATAACAGTAATCTTGACCGCGCCCAAAAACAAATAAAAAAACGCGAGTATATCGATCAACGAACAAACTGACCCCTAAACCAACAGCGAATTACATATATTGACCCAGGAGCCAACGCGCGAATATAATAATGCAACAGTGGGACCTATGACAACTTTATTTAAATTTTTGGCTTGGTCAGAAAAGTTAATTTAAACCAATCCTGTGCACCACTTGATGTAAGTGGTGTGGTAGTGATTACACTCCTTATTACGTCACGTGTTTCTACATTGTTTTAATTACAACGCGACTTGCGAAGAAAAAAATGGTGATTATTATAAGTGATTTTTTATTCCAGATATTTTCAATATATCCGAGAAACAAATTGCGAAAGATTTAAAAATAAAACAAAAATATCGACAGATAATTTAATAGCTTCCGTTGGATATGAAAAGAATGTAGGTCAGACAATGTGTAAACATCTAAATTTAGAAGAAGAATGTAACTAACAATGTGACTAAATAATTGGATTTATCAATTAAGATGTTAACATGGTTTAAATCTGATTGTGTCATGGAGCTAATTTTGTTTATACATCTGTGATTGTGTGTAATTGTTTTTAAAACAAGATGACGTGGCAATAACATAATATTATGTCGGGCAAGATAATCGTTTACATAGAGAGATTACATAATTTTTATTTCACTTTATATGAATAATGATCGGACGTTTAACAACATAGTAACAGGTGAAATGGACGTGGAAGACATCAGGGCCATAGAGGAGGTTATCGCACATACGGACTTTAAATCAAAGATAAGTATCAACATTCGTACGATTGTCCGGAGTTTAAAAAATCTGAACTTAATCGACGAGTGTCTGACGAAACACTTGAGTGACAATTATAAAAGGAATAAAGAAGATTCGAAAGGGAAACAACTCTTAAAATTAAATCGCTTTATTTGGGAAATAGTTGTCTTTCTTTCGTTTGATGATCTTTTACGAGTTCTTTGTGATTCAGGGAATCAACTTTTAGCGAACAGTCTTGTGGTTCAGAGAGGATGTATTAAAAGTGAAGATTTAACAGCGCTTACAAGTGTAGATATACCTAGATCCGTGTCTAAATACAGACTGCCCCATGCCGAAGAGTTGAATAGATTTTATATAGATCTCAAGGTTCGTGTTGATAACAATACTTTAAATTGTGGCATGGACAATGGAAACAAGGAATCGCTGGAATTAATGATTTTTAACCTTGATATTATGCTGAATTCTTGTGACAATCCAGCCAGGAAACAGTTTATGTTGGATAAACGGGTACTTCTGTATTTTTTGCTCGCACAGGTGTGCGCCGACTTTAATGAAAGAATGGCTATTTTAAAACGTCTGCATGATTCGATGCCACACGGAGCGGACAGGTTCATGTATAAAGCTATTTATCACTCCAATATGGCTGTCAGCTGGGCAATGAAGGGGAACGTTAAGACAGCATTAGAGCATGTAGCTGTGTCAAGGGAAGACAATTTCACGTGCATGCCGTGTCTTCCAGTGTACGTGTCAATGATGGGGGCCCACATCTCGCACACTGAGGTATATCTTAGTCGAAAATCCATCCGACTATCTTCACAAAGCTATAATGGATTATGAAAGCGTCTCGCAACTCGTACAAGAAGCGTCGGTTGAAGAACAGATGGTTTGGAAGAGCGGGACGCTGTTAATCATGGCATCGGCATTGCTCGGTATTAAATTCTTCTCTAAAGTATGTGATGAGACTGTTGATCCTGGGATTGAAAATCTCACGAGAGCCAGAAACATTTTAGCAGAAGTACGACGACTGAAATCTCTTCCGAAACACCGCGAACTTATGCTGTATCTGTGTATAGGCAAACTACACGATATTGAAGGGAACCTGAGCGGCGCTGTTAGGTACATCCAAAAGGCACGTGACTTGGCAGAAATCTGTTCATTTAACAATACTGAAAAAGAAAATATTAATATCTACCTCATTCGATTACACAGCAAGAGTTGTGCTACTTTTCATGATATAGAAAAGGAGCATCATGAATCACCTCGTGTCAGGAACTGATTTAGCAACCCATGTTAGCCCTGAGCCGTATGGCAGACCATTTGAGAATAGCATATCACATTGAAGGCATTTTTATACTGCTATCATTCAATAGTTTCAAAAGTGTTTGTATAAACAGAAGTGCTGGGTCTATATGTCACATTGTCATATGTACTTTTAATACATAAAGATAAAGGTGTTTTTTCTTAAATAATCACAACCATAGGTTGAAAATATCGCAAGGACTAAGTCCAAATACAAATGTTTTAACAAACAGTAAAGGGAGCAGAAAAAAATAACTCAAACCAAGAAAAATGCATTGCTAAAATCTTTACTTATATACAGTAATATACTTTTTAAATTGTTAGTCAATACCTCAATTAATAGAAAATACTCATACATATACAATGTTCTTACAAATTTCTGTTTTTGTTTGCTTAATTGAAAACCGTACGTTTTAATAGAATTGTGACTTTTCATTGTAATTCACTTGAAAACTTTCAGATATTGTCAATCAAAACTAATATTAGTTTGATATATGTTTCATATTAAAGTATTCTTATTATGTGTTATACTAGTATTCACAAATGTTGTATGGCACTGATAAAGTTAATGCGTCGTGATATTTTCTACATAATGTATTGATATTTTCTTTGTGTTTTTTTTTGAGTGCATTAATAGTGTTGAAAATATATGTATATTTGTTTGTTTGTTTGTTTGTTTTTGTAGTTCTTAAGCCGAGTTCAACACACTTTTGATCATATCTCGGCGGTGGATCTGCCGAACCGGCTTTCCTGTACAGATATTTGTAATCAGTTAATTACCAATTTCTCTACAAGTGACCGACTACTATATGTTTTATAAATCGGCGGGGAGAGACAAATGATCATTTGACACAGTGTCCCAGCACAATTATTACAATGTCCTAGAACAATTATCACAGTGTCCCAGCACAATTATTATACAGTGTCCCAGAACAATTACCACATTGTCCCAGAACAATTATCACAATGTTCCGGAACAATTATCACAACGTTCCAGAAGAATTATCACAGTGCCCAGAAGAATTATCACAGTGTCCAAGAAGAATTATCACAATGTTCCGAAACAATTATCACAACGTTCCAGAACAATTATCACAGTGTCCCAGAAGAATTATCACAATGTACCGGAACAATTATCACAACGTTCCAGAACAATTATCACAGTGTCCCAGAAGAATTATCACAATGTTCCGGAACAATTATCACAACGTTCCAGAACAATTATCACAGTGTCCCAGAATAATTATCACAATGTTCCGTATCACAACGTTCCAGAATAATTATCACAGTGTCCCAGAACAATTATCACAATGTTCCAGAACAATTATCACAACGTTCCAGAACAATTATCACAGTGTCCCAGAAGAATTATCACAATGTTCCAGAACAATTATCACAACGTTCCAGAACAATTATCATAGAGAAATTTCAGCTACCAGACGATCCAGCAGATTACTAATTCGATGCTCTCCGTATTGAGCAAAGCGGTCCGGGCGGACTATACGTTTATGTCAAACGTTTTTATTAGACCCCTACCGGTTTAACCGGAGGGGACTCTAGGTTTAATCTCCGTCCGTCTGTCCGTCCGTCCATCTGTCGTTTCGCTCTAACGGGACATTAATAATGTGGTTAGAGGAACAATAGGTAACTGTTCTTTTTCTTTGATGTCATTCCGTAATGCTTTTTTGTGGCTGTTTTCTTTTGTGTGGCTAAAAAGAACAATAAAGAGGACAAAAGAGTAGCCACATTATTACTGTCCCAATAGAACGTCCGTCCGTCCACGAAAAGTACTGAAAAATATTTTTATGAAACTTAAAATATGGAAAGATGG